TGCAGAGATAGAGTTGACAGAAGAAGTACTTATGGGTACTTATTCAAATTTATGGGAGGTCCTATTTCTTGGTGTTCTAAGAAACAACCTGTTGTTGCACTGTCAACTTGTGAAGCTGAATATATTGCAGGCGCTCTGACTGCATGTCAAGCTGTGTGGATTCTGAACTTGCTGAAAGATATAAAGATTGAGGTAAATAAACCTCTAAAGCTGATCATTGATAACAAGTCTGCAATCAATCTTGCCAAGAATCCAGTGTTGCATGGGAGAAACAAGCATATTGAGACGAAATATCATTTTTTGAGGAATCAAGTTCAGAATGAAATATTAGAAGTTGTGCACTGTAGCACCCAGAAGCAGCTGACAGATGTTCTGACAAATGCTATAAAAACTGATCAATTTCTTGATTTAAGGGATGAAATTGGTGTTGTCAGTTTTGAGTAAATATAAATTAAGGGATGATGTTAGAATTAATTTAGATTTTATAATTAATTAGATATTAATTTATATTTAGGAATATCTTTTAGATTGTTTATATCTTTGTTAGAAGATATATATCTTAGATCTTCTTATATATTTGTAGAAAATATATTTTAGTTTTAATTTTGTTTATAAATAGCCTAGTGAAGTAGGTGATTGTAATTCATTGTAAATTCTTATTTTTGAAACTATCAGTAAATATTTCTTTTGTCTTTTATCTTCCTTGTGCACCAATAGATTTATCAATCTTCTTCTGATACATATTACTTTTACCTAAACAAAAATATAAAAGTTGATAAGTCACTTAATCAACTTTTGTAGACAAAAACGAGGACAATTTTGTAGTTTTATATATTTACATATTTTTTATTTATTTTTTATTTATTCCACAAACTTTTATTTTATTTATTTAATTATTATTATTCACCCCACTAATTTCTTATTATTTATTTATTTTTATTTATATACTATAATAAACCCCATTAACTTATTATTATTTATTCATTTTTTTTAACATCTTATATATAAAAGTTTTTAATATACATAGAAAAATATTATAAAAAAATTCAATAAAAAATGATATGATAAAAATCTAATACATTAAAAAAAATGAAATAGATCAAAATCAAAATAATTATAAATAATTATTTATTTATTAATATATAATTATATTTTTTATTTTCATTTTTAATTATTATAATTATATATTTTTTAATTTAGACCATTTTTAAAATTAGATTGGAGCCTTCAATTTGATTGAGTCGTCCTAGATGATTTTGACACTAAGAATATTGAATCAACCATAAAGTCTTTCACTAACTTTCGATATCAATTCACTCTATTTACACGTATTTTTGTATGCACATAGTTAAATTTTTCTCTTTTATATTTATTTTTTAGTTTATATATATATATATATATATATATATATATATATATATATATATATATATATATATATATATATATATATATATATATATATATATATATATATATATATATATATATATATATATATATATATATATATATATATATATATATATATATATATATATATATATATATATATATATATATATATATATATATATATATATATATATATTAATATGTAGTTAATTATTACACATATTATTATAATTTTATATTAATATCATTAACTTTATGTGCGGATCAAAATACTAATATTGCTTAACAATAACTAGTGAGAAAGAATTATTATTCAATTAATAATCAAGTTATAATAGAATGTTTAATTTGTTATATCGAATATCAAATTATAAGAAGAGTCAATTATTATTCAATTAATAATCAAGTTATAATAGAATGTTTAATTTTAAAAATTATATTATTTCAATGTCGTAAATCTTAATTACAATATTTTCGTTTTAATATATACCTACCAAATAATCAAAGTTATATATTTTACTTAAAGAAGTCCATGATATACTTTTAGAAATATAAATATTCACCCAATATAAATTTACTAGTTAATAATATTAAATAATATATAATATAGGTCACAATTAGGTACTCTAGTTAAATATATAACTCCTATATTGATTAAATAAAAAATAAATTTCTAAAATTTAGGTTTTTTCTCAAAAGTAATCATTTATATAACTCAGCATTAACCATAAATTATTATTATAAGATTTGGGATCGATACTTCCATTGTGAAGTAAATTAAAAGAATAATTTAGAGAGTGACTTTATTAAGCTCTCCTTCTACATGATTATTTTTTTAATATTAAATTAAAATGATATAGGTATTATTAGTGAACTCTTTGATAAAAAAGATTGAGATGCTCTCTTAAATAGATTGAATATTTATTAAATATTTGATTGTTACGATTTTTGTCCCTATTTTATCTTATTCTTAAAACTAGTTCTATATTTTTTTTAAGTTATAGAAGTGACACTTCATTGAAAATGTGTGAATTTAAGTGTTTGCATGTATAATTGTTTGTAACTTTCAAACTATTTTAGTAGTTTTAATGGTGACAATACTTAAAATTAAACAATATTAGGTGAAATCTTTGGTGATACATGTCCTACAATCTCTTATAATGATATTCAATCTGTCAGATCTCATTATTGAAGATGAGTTTAATTTCAATTGAAATAATAATTAAAGTTAGAAAATTTTGAGTTTTAAAGTTGTAAAAGCTCACTTAGTCATGCTTAACATGTATTTAAGTGATCACGGTGAAGTTTGGATGATATTTATGATAAAAGTCATTCGAATTATAAGAGAAAAATATGTGATTTGGTTTAGTTCGATTGATTTTTAAAAAGAAAAAAATTGAACTAAATCAAATCAATGTGATTCGGTTCGGTTCGATTAGTTCAGTTTATTATAAATATTTTATTGAGTCATACATACACATATATAAAACAACATAATTTTATATTTAGTCATTCATACACTACCAAATAACAATAAAACTTATCATATTTGGACAACAACTTCTCATGTAATATATAAAAAATTAAATTAAACAAAAATAAAATAATAAACATAAAATAATAGTATAAAAAAATAAAAAAATATTATAACGAAACAAAAAAATAAGAGAGATGAGAGATTAGTGAAGATGAAAAATAAAGAACATAAGAGAGGAGAAATTAGAGAAGAAAATGTGCGATAAAAACAAAATTGAAAGAGAGAACATTTACATAAAAATGAGAAGGTGAAAAAGAAAGAATATATGAGAGTAGAGATTAGAGAAGAAGAAGCAAGATGTATTTGACAAAGAAGGCGCGATAATGCAATGAGAAATTTGAGAAGACCGAAATTGAAACCATAAGTGTAAGGATGGAAAAATTGTTAGTAATCATAAATATAAAGTATAATAGGTTTAAGTTTGAGTTGAATGTGAGTAAAATAAAATTTAGGTTGTAACATAATGCGGTTTGATTCGATTTGCAAAATACAAATCGTAAACTGAACTAAATCGTGCGATTTTGTTAAAAAGTGACCCAAACAAATCCGAACCAAATATAATTTTTTTTAATTTCGATTTGATTTAGTTCGGTTTGCAATTTCATATCGGATTGATTTGGTTTTGAACACTTCTAATTTAATGTAAAAATATAAAAGTATCTTTTGATATACTAAGACACCACACACATATGTATGTACTGACTCAAACACACTCTTACTCTTGAAATATTAAAACGTATTTCGTGAATTCAATAAAATAGAAAGATCAATATTATACTTATATATATATATATATATATATATATATATATATATATATATATATATATATATATATATATATATATATATATATATATATATATATATATATATATATATATATATATATATATATATATATATATATATATATATATATATATATATATATATATATATATATATATATATATATATATATATATATATATATATATTGTTTATATTAAATTTTTAAATGGAACTTAATATTTATAAGAAATGATTAATAAATTATTAAAATTTTAAATAGTAATATTGTCGTTAATATAAAATAATTACTATACTATATTATTATATAATTTAATTATACATATAATATAAAAGAAAAATTGAAACAATTTTTTAGATGTACCTTAAAATATAAGCTAGAAAAGATACTTCTAATGAATCACCACTTGTCTATAAAAAATAATATACGTTAAAAAAAAAACTAGGCCAATATTTACAATACTTTCATTAATGAAAACTGTTCGTTTTTTCCGTGTTTTTGAATTTTAAGAAGAGATAAAATACTTAAAAGTCAAAAGCAAAACACAGTCTAGTAGTTTTGATTTTTTTAGTAATAAAAACAACTAAACTTAAAACAGTTTTACAAAACAATTTTTAAAATTGATAAGTCAACCAATTTTTTTAGTTTTTAAATTTTAAAAAAGAAAAAAAAGTTTTTAAAAAGTCAATCACACATGCCCTTAATATTTGGTACTGTTACTCACTATTAGGTGGCAAAAGTGGTGTTCCTCGTTGGACAATATCTTAAATCCCCGTCGTATACAATATTTATTCCATTTTTAAAAAAAGATTTTTAGGGGGCAGAAATCTAAACGGTATAACGTTCTAGAATAGCATTATCAAGTGACTTCACAAATTAATACGATTTTTTTATTATACTTTGTCATTTATTTACACGCTTTTTAAATTTTTTTAAAAAAAATTATCTATTAAAATATTATTATTTTAAATCGAGCATGTTTAATTATATAATTCTTATTTATTAAACCATCTTATTAGTATTAATCAATCTCTGCCCTGATTAAAGACAAAAATAAAAAACATTTTCGATAAAAAAAAAGGTAAAAGCAAAGACATTTGCTAAATTTTAGTGTTTTTCTTAAAAAGTTAAAATATTTTTTCACAAAAAAATAGAGGAGAATTCGCGTGGTGTATGTTTCAAACCGTCACTGTTTCTTGTCCTTGTTCTTCCTTCTCAGAATTCTCTGTTTACTGCATCTTCTCGAGCTAAGCGCCTAAATTCAACTCAACAAAAATGGCGTCGTTTTTGTCTCTCCCCGCGGTTTCCCCTCGTCTAATTCCCACCGCTTTCTCTCTAAAACGACCCTTAATCAACACTTCACCTAATTTGCATTTCAAAAATCACCGGTTTGTAATCCAATCTCTTCTCCTAAAAGTTCACAACTTTTTTCATTTCTCTATTTTGGGTTTCATTCAATTTTCAAATTTTCCTCTTAATTTTCATGTTTTACTACTATTAGCTAACTGTTGGAACTTGTGACCATGAAATTAGTTTTACTGAGGTTCTTTGCTTGTTTTCTGATGACAGATTATGGTTCACAATCATCAATATGATGAGTCTTAGTGAGTAATGGGTTGTATCAATATTGTGTGATGTGCAGGTTTGCCGTTAGCTGCAGTTATTCAGGTGTTGGTGGTTTTGAATCTTCCACATCAACTATAGATGTTGTGGCTGATGTCAAAAGTGAAAAGGTATTATGCACACACTTCCATTTTTCGATAACTTTGATATCCATTTTCGAGTTATGTTGTTCAAAAACTTTATTGCTTTTATATGTCTCTTTGTAGATTGTAGTATTGGGAGGCAATGGGTTTGTTGGTTCAGCCATATGCAAGGCAGCAGTTTCCAAGGGCATAGAAGTCGTAAGTGTAAACAGGTTTGCGAAACGCTGAACTAATTCACCACATATGTATATGTCTTTTAATCTCTTCTACGCTTCTTTTGGTTTTACGTATGTGATTGATATTTTGTTTGACAGGTCTGGACGTCCTTCTTACTCTGATTCATGGATAGATCAGGTTACTTGGATTTCAGGCATGTTAACTTACTAGTACATGATTTTTTTTTTCTTGCAATTTTGTGTGGACCTAATTACTATTAGATAAAATGTGATTTGTTTCGGGCTTCTGGAATCTAAGCTATCTTTTATGCGATCCAAATGCACAGGAGATGTTTTTTATGTAAATTGGGACGAAGTACTTCCTGGAGCCACTGCAGTCGTCTCAACACTTGGAGGTTTTGGTAGTGACGAACAAATGAGTAAGGTTAATGGCGAGGCTAATGTTCTTGCTGTGAATACTGCAAAGGAATATGGTGAGCCATCTCATTGAGCATTATTTTGCAGTTAAATTATTTGCGTGTGAGCATGTATCTTTTACCCTTCGGTACATGCTTTGATGATTATGGCTTTATATGAAGTACATCATTATGTTTGGGATTTTTTTTTTGCTGCGATGCTTTAAATTTATCTATGGAACCGGAGTTTAATAACCGGATGTGCTATTTACTTCTCACACTACTCTTGTTTTTTCCTGGCAGGAATTCCCAAATTCATATTAATCTCAGTTCATGACTATAACTTGCCATCGTTTTTACTATCATCGGGGTACTTCACAGGAAAGAGGAAAGCAGAATCTGCGGTTCTATCCAAATTCCCTAATTCAGGTCATTATTCTCTATATCTTCACGATCTTGAAACTAAATCGGTATTTCAAGTCTTGTTAACAAAGAACTGAGGTTCTGAACACAACTAGTCTAAACTCAAAATTCCCTGACCTGCAAACGAGTCAAGTTGCTGATGAAATGGTTATTTTTAGACTAGTAGAGATAAAGCTCATAGAGGATCCAATAATAAGGTTTGTAGAAGATGAATATCACGCTTTTGTCTTGTTTAGATTGAGTTATTTGAATTTATCTGTCGGCATAAGCATTTGTGAGTCTGTTCTTGAGAGCTTATGAAAACAGCTTTGACATGCTCATATACTGTTTTCAGCTTATTTCCATAAGCTCTTCAGAATCGCTTATAGTTTATCTGAAAATAGTTTAACTTATCTATTGTTATAGAAGTAGTAGCATTAGCTAATAGACAAACACTTATACGGTAAGCGCTTATTTAAGTTGTTTATCCAAACAGGACTTGAAGAATATAAAGCTACCGAAATATATATCTTGCTGTTTTTTTTCTTCCATTGAGTTGCATTCTCGAAAACTCACTTAAAAATCCCAAAACATCTTCCAGGTATTGTGCTAAGACCAGGTTTCATATACGGGAAAAGAAAAGTGGACGGTTTCGAGATTCCTTTGGATTTAGTAGGGGAGCCAGCTGAAAGAATTCTAAAAGCAATAGAGAACTTCACAAAACCATTAAGCTCACTTCCTGCTTCTGATCTACTTTTGGCTCCACCAGTTAGTGTTGACGATGTTGCATTGGCGGTTATCAACGGTGTCACAGATGACGACTTCTTTGGTGTTTTTACAATTGAGCAGATCAAGGAAGCTGCTCAGAAAGTAAGGGTATGATCCAAATACATGTAGATAAAGTTGCAAATATTACAAATGGAGTGAAAAAATTAAGTTGTTTTTTCTTTGATGAATCTTTGGTTTAATACTTCAGCATTTGGATATCCTTATCCAATTGTGATTTGTTTAGAGGTTAATTGTTCTATTTCTGAATACAAGCTATACTCTAACCATATTTTAACTTGCATATGCTGCATGTGGTCTATACAAGGTCTTGATGGGAGTACCTTGTAGTATAATGCACTATCTATTTGAATTGTTAATTTATTCTTAACATTTGTACATCTTTTGTCAAAAAACATTTGTACATCTTACCTTATTTCAAATAATTCAAAGTATATTCTCTTATAGAAGGAATATGTCAATAGCTTAGGTCAAAATCATATTCATCTTATCCTAGGTAGCCCTCTCAAATGGGTGAAATGGATTCTCTGACGTTTACCGGCGAACTGCCTTTCATGTATTTTAGTCTGTTAATGGATTTTTGTATGTCCGTCAATGGGATCCAGGGGGAAAACTTTTATTTTCTACAACAAATGGAACAAGAAGAATATGGTAGTTGTCAACCTTGAGGACAAGGTTGTTTTGAGGAGGGGGTGTATTGTTAGGATGTAGAATTGTGGTTAATTAGAGTAGTTAATATAGAAAATAGTTGTTATATAAGTTAGTCAGTTGGTCGGTTAATTAGTTGGTTGAGGTTGTTATATGGATATTTGTATAAATAAGAGAATACAATGTAGAGTTGATCATTTTTTAATATTGTAATTATTTGTGAATAGAGTAGAAACAGTAGAAACTCTATTGTGAAGGCCATTTAACAAGTTTATTTGGTTTGTGGATGCTAGTGATCACGATGATGTCCCTGAAGCCTAGTTTTGCAAATTCTACGGCCACTTTTTGCTGAGCTAGCAAACTATTTAATCGATATGCTTAAAGTGATGGGAAAATTGGTGGAGTCTCTTAGTCTAATGTTTGATCGGTTGAAAATTCATTAAATATTTATGATAAATTTCTAGTTCAATGACAATGAATTATGAAAAAAACAAGAAAAGAAAGAAGACAATTATTTTCTGCAGAATTTCTCTTTGCTCACAAACTGTGGAAAACTTTGTTATTCACTTGCACCTGTAAATTTTGTGAATACAACTTAATTGACTTGATTTCAAAAATAGGGGTTACTCCCTCTATTTATAACTGAGCCTGCACTCAAAGCGCAAAGCCCAAAATATCTATTTTGTTACTAAATTTAATCTATTCTAGACTTAAATTAAATCTATTTAAATCTAAAACAAATTTAGCTTGCTTCGACCCACAAGCTAACCCTTCGACACATAGTTTCGACACACTAAATTACATTTTAACACATCATCTAATTTATTGTGTCTAAACTATCTATATTCATCATGACTCTTTGTCTTTTGAATACTTCAACTTGCACTCTCTTCGTCATGAAATCTGCAATCTGATTCTCAGTTCTGCAGTGCTTCAAATTCATCTTCCCATCTGCTACATGCTCTCGAAGATAATGGAATCTCATTTCGATGTGCTTGCTTCGACCATGTACTATTGAGTTTTTCGCCAGATTGATAGCTGACATGCTGTCTATCGCATGTCTATCTTTATGGTATTGCTCTATGATCAGTTGTGCACTTCAAAACTCCCTTCTCCTTTAGGAAACTATCAATTTTCTTATTCCAAGCTCTTGGAACTTGTTTCAATCCCTACAGTGCTTTATGCAGCCGTTACACCTTTCTTTCTTCGTCATGTTTCACAAATTCAACTGGTTGTTTAACATAAACTTCTTCTTCTAAGGGTCCATTCAAGAATGCACACTTTACGTCCATCTGACATATATGCCAACTATTTATTTTTGTTAGACCAACAACTAATCTGATTGTTTCGATCCTAGCAACAGGTGTAAAAACCTCATCGAAGTCTATCCCTTCTTTCTGTAGAAATCCTTTCGCCACAAGCCTTGCTTTGTGTCGAGTTACTTCCCCTTTCGAATTTGTTTTTACTTTGTATACCCACTTGACATCAATTGCCTTCTTGCCTTGAGGCAATTCGATAAGTGACCAAGTGTTGTTGTCTTCGATAGACTTCACTTCTTCGTTCATTGCTTTCACCCACTTCGAATCCTTTAATGCTTCAGCTGCATTGACAGGTTCGACATCTGCATAGAAAGCATAATGTACCAGCTCACCTTCATTATCTATTAAATCATCTGATGCAATCACACAATCTTGCAATCTTGCAGGCATGTGTCTTGTTCTTTGAGGCCTGCTTGTACTTGGTATATCTGCTGGTTCCTCTTGTCGAACTTCTCTTTCGACTTGAGTTTCTGGTTCTCCAAGTAGGATTCCCACTGAATCTTTCTTGACATTTTCAGTCCAATCCCATTCTTTAAACTCATATATGATCACGTCCCTGTTGATCATAATCTTCTTGTTCTCTGGATCGAACAACTTGTAACCTCCTGTCGGATGATACCCAACTAGAATCATTTGACTTGACTTGTCATCAAGTTTTCTTCTTAACTGATCTGGCACATGTCTATGTGTAATAGATCTAAATACCTTCAGATGACTCAAGCTAGGCTTCATATCAGACCAACATTCTTCTAGAGTGATTCCTTCTAGCTTCTTCGTAGGACATCTGTTCAAAATGTATGTTGCAGTTGAAACAACTTCACCCTAAAACTTTTTAGGTAAATTCTTGCCTTTCAACATATTACGTACCATATTCATGATGGTTCGATTCTTCCTTTCTGCAATTCCATTTTGTTGTGGAGTATAGGATGGCACCACCTCATGCACAATCCCTTCCTTTTTACATAGCCTGTCGAAGTCTTTCAACACATATTCTCCACCACCATCAGTTCTCAAAACTTTGAGTTTTCGACCACTTTATCTTTCGACCATAGACTTAAACTTGGCAAATACTTTGATCACTTCACTTTTCTTCTTGATCAGATAAGTCCACAACTTTCGATTGAAGTCATCTATGAATGTAACAAAGTATTTGTTACCTCCCATCGAATCCACCTGGATTGGTCCACATATATTAGAGTATATGACTTTAAGAGTAGTTTTCGACCTGCTTCCTGCATCTTTGCTGAAGCTATTTTTGTGTTGCTTCGCCTGCACACATTTCTCACATACCTCGTTTGGAATGTCGATTTCTGGCAATCCTGAAACCATATTTCTTCTCTTCAAATCTCTGATGTCTCTGAAGTTGAGATGGCCTAGTCTATAAATCCATATCCATTCATCTCTGCTAGCTGCGGTCGAAAGGCACTTGTGCTCCATCACATTTAATTCTATCTTAAAAGTTCGATTCTGAGACATAAGATCCTTCAAGATTAATCTTCCATTTGCATCGATGACTCTCATCATCTTATCTTCGATTGACATTTTATAATTTCTTTTCGACCAACGTCCCTATACTGAGCAAATTGCTCTTCATGCCTGGTATGTACAACACATTTGAAATTACTGACTTCTTGTCATCTTTCCTCATAATCATAACATGACCAATACCTTCAGCTGCTAGGGTATTGTCATTTGCAAATTTTACCATATTTTTTATTGAGGACTTTATATTGACAAACCAGTCTTTCCTTCTAGACATATGTGATGAGCATCCTGAATCCAAATACAATTGGTCCTTGAATCTATCTTCATCTCTTGTTTTGACCATCAGCATCATCTCTTCTTCTTCATGTTTTGCAAGCTTTGCATCACTTTCTTGATTCTTTCGCTTTTCTGGACAATCACTCGAATAATGACCATACTTTTGACAATTATAACATTGAATGTGACTCTTATCAGGTTTTCGACCACCACATCTTCCTCTATTTTTAACACCACCTCTTTGATTGCCTTGGTATGGTCTTCTTTGATTCGAAGAGTTTTCTTCGTTCTGGTTTCCTCTACCATTCGATTTATTGTAGCCGCCTCTACCTCTATCGAAACATTTTCCTTTTCCTTTGGTTTTGTAGCAACTGGTTTTTTAATCAGAACCGCCACTATTAGTTTTTATCCTAGGGAAGAGAATCTAACAGAAAACCCTAATTCGCAGACAAAGATTCCAGGTTTCGAACTCAATTAGACGAAAGGAAGGTGTTAGACACCTTTCATCTACCTTGTTCACAAGGATATTAGGCTCTAGGTTTAGGTTTGGGTAAAACTGGATTTTAAGTTTTAAATAGAAAGACTCGCCACGATTTTTGATCCTATGCCTACGTATCCTCTTATGAGGAATCAGAGTCCCAATACGTAGTTCGTATGGGTTGGTATTTTTTAGGGGTTTGCAAACATATTTTGAATCACTTCGCACTCGGTCGGGAGTAGTGATTGCGGAGATTTTGACTGAATGCGCAGTGAGTCAAAACTAGTTTGAAACCCTTTTACAAAAAAAAAATTGATTAATTTAGTTTATTGCGAAAAATAATTTGATGATTTGTTGGTGTTTTTTATCGTATCAATTGTAAAAATATCTTGATAATGCATGATTGAAGAAGAATTTAATGCAAATAATATATAAAATAATGTATGCAATTTTTAAATAAAATAGATTTATTTGATAATGTAATAATATTTAAATAGTAAATACATTAATAATAATGTTCACATAAAAAGGGGATTATAAATAATAAGCTATAAATATAATAATAAAAAATTTAAGTAACTACAACAATATATATATATATATATATATATATATATATATATATATATATATATATATATATATATATATATATATATATATATATATATATATATATATATATATATATATATATATATATATATATATATATATATATATATATATATATATATATATATATATATATATATATATAATGATAATAAAAAAAATCATTATTTGATAATAATAATAATAATTATAAATAAATAATATAAAAAATAGAAAAAATAATTGAATTATAAAAGAAAATAAATAAAATTAACTAAATTCAAGAGGGTGTAAAT